GCAGACCCTTCAACATTATCTCCCAAGAAGTGTTTTAAGTGTCATTCTGTATTTATAAGGTAATTGGAGTATCAGAAGTTTCATAAGCCCATCCTCTTCCCAAATAATTCAGTCCAAAAGTAATTAGACAGTATGAGCAGCACCAGAGTGCAGGGAGAGGCTAGAGATTGATTCCATGGAAGCTAAGGAAAAATACTGATGACAAGTAAAGTCTGGCTTCTGGTGAAGGTAATTACAGACACAGAACAGGAAAAAGCTACAGTAAGCTCCATGGTATTGGCCTGGAACTGAAGTTATGGCTTTGAAATCCCAGTGTTCAATTTACATATAGGTTGAGAGAAATAAACATAAATTCCCTAAATCTGGCCATGATGCTCACTGGAGAACTAGTTAATTCCTCTAGAGCACGGAAATTCATGACGAGCATGGAAAATTTTCTTGGGCCAGAAAATAAAGTAATGCCCAAAGAAAGATGGGCGCATATTAAAAGAACATAGAAGCCATCCTGAAGCAGCTCACAGTGGCCAAACCTGAGCATCCAAATACATTACATTAACAGATTATAACCCACTGAATAAAACAGGAATCTGTTAGTTCATAAGTAAAAAGTTTGATGAGGAACAGTCTCAAAGTAACTGACCACAAAAAACTTAGTTACAAAGAGAAAAATATCTTTATGTGAGGGGCCTAGCAGATACCACCTCAATTAAAGGATCAAAGTTAACATCACCAGCAATGGGACAAAATGAAATTAAATGTCACCTGACAGGACAGAATAACAACACAGCACCATATCTGTTATCTTCTTGCAAAGCCATCTAAGATTAACCTACTTCATGAGGCTACAAAATAACGGCCTGTATCTTCCAAAGAGCAAAAGTCATGAAAGTCAAGGGAAAACTGAGGAGCCATAATAATCCAGGTCGAAGACAACTAGAAAGACAAGAAAGAAAACTAGAGAGACAAGACAAGTGATGATGATACAGTGTGATTCTGAACTGGACCCTCTGGATAAAAAAGAAACTCTAGGGACAACTGGCATAACTTTAATGAAGTCTGAGGATTAGATGGAGGTAACATCACAAAGTTAACTTCAGGTTTTGATCGCTGTATGGAGTTAAGCAGGAGAATATGCCTGTTCGTAGGAAACACACTTTAAGGAATTCAGGGGTGACGGAACACCTTATCTACAACTCTCTCTCAAATGGTTCCAGAAAAATACTTAGACTTTTCTTTTAACTTTTCTGTAAAGATGAGGTTGTTTCAATTCTAAAATTAAATATGTATATGTGAATATAAAATGAGCTAGTGTAAGCAAAAGTAAACAACTTTACAGAACAAACCCAGATTATATGTACACAGAGGAAGAAGAGTGAACTATGGCTTCACCAATTTGCCTGTTCTGGTTACCTCCATGATGGATGTATAATTTTAGTAATACATATTTTGGACTGATTTAAAATGACCAATAAACTGTATGAAACATACCATACATTTAAAGTTGAACTGTAGTATATAATTCCTTGGCCATTTTTACCCTGCCCCTGCCTCTCACCCCACTTTGGATTCTAGTTATGTCAACACAGTATATATGACAAACAGGTATGGAAATCATTGGGTTAATAGTTTAGAAGATAATCCTTGCTAAAAAGTCCACTTGATCTACTTACCAATAAACTATTTGTAAAGTAGCAACTTCATTCCATTCAAGGGTTAAATCTGACCACATAACAAATAACTGAAAATGTTCTCTATGTTTACTGATGTCATTAAATTGTAGAATCAAGTGACTTAGGTTTTAAGAATATCTGAAGTCCTATCTAGAGTTCATTTTTAATAGCCTTCATCTACCAATTATTGTTCTTCCAGCTCAACTCACAAAGCTTGGAGTATTTCAGTGACACAGAAAAAAACAGAAAGTAAGTAAAAGTAAGCCTATATAAATTTAATCTTAATGCCTAGATTTCTGGGCATTGGAAGGGATAAACTAGAACTAAAAAAAATAGGGATTATAAATTCTAATGCTGGTTTTACGAAAAACTTGTTATGAACAGAAGAAAGTCACTATGTGTATATCAAATGAGGAAAAAAATATATCATTATGGAATCTAGTAGTTCAGTAATTGTTGATATTAGCAAAAAGCAAATAATACAACTAGCAATGGAGCCATGTTTATTTCTTTCCACATTTACAGTTGTCTCCCTCCCTCTTATCCATGGGGGATATGTTCCAAGACCCCCCAGTGGATACCTGAAACCACAAATCCAAAGCCTATAAATACTGTTTTTTCCTATATACACATAATTATGATAAAGTTTAATTTATAAATTAGGCATAGTAAGAGATTAACAGCAAGATTAACAATAAAAGAACAATTTTAACAATAAATTGTGATAATTATGTGAATTAAGCTCTCTCTGAAAATATCTTACTATACTATACTCACCCTTCACCTTGTGATGATGTGATATGATAAAGGTCTACATGATGAAGGGAAGTGAGGCGAAAGATGTAGGCAATAGGCTACTACTGACCTTCTGACTATATGTCAGGAGGATCATCTGCTTTTGCATTATTTGCAACCACAGTTGACCTCAAAAACTGCAGATAGCAAAATGGGAGAAAGCAAAACTGCAGACAAGAGGGGACAAATGCACTTAAATAACTTAAGGAAAGTACCTGAATTTAACATTGGCATACTTGTACCTCATTTACTCTACAACCCCTCAAAAACAGAAAGCTATCAATTACCTACCTCTAAAGTCATTATTTTTTCACTGATTGCAAGAGTTAACTTCTTTATTCTCAATGTAATAGCTGAATGCTATTAAACTGGAGTCAACCAACCCTTTATTGAACTAAGTAGCAGACCAGAATTTAATTCAATAAATATTTTGTGTGCCTATTACACACTGGGCAAAAGAGGTTAATAAGACTCATTCTCTGCCTTAGTGGATTTAGTCTAACAAAGGAAAATTAAAGAAACACTTCCTATACAAAAACTCCATTCAGAGATCAGAACTCTGAAACTATGGAAAATAGGAAAACTATGGAAAATTTTTTCCTGTGTGTGCATGCTAAATCTACATTTTCTAAAAATAGAAAAATTCCATTGTACCATATTGTAATCCTTTCCTTACATCATTCCATGCCAATTAGCATACTTAAAAAGTCACCATTTCAAATGAGTTGTAAAGTGTTTATTTTAAAGATGGGCAAAAATTTACCTAATATTCTGTTGCTAAATGCTCATGCTTAATTTTTTATTTTGATTCAAAACACAGGTGGGGTGGGTATGGGGAAAATTGAAGTTCCTATGGCCAGGATCCTCACCTGACCCTACATTACTTGATGATGTAACTAGCCTACTGCTAGGCTACTGCTTCCACATACACAGGCAATAAGCTATTATCGACTGAGTCACTATATAAAGAGCTCTGCCCAGTACTCTGGGCAGAAGCAGAGACAAAGGAGGATTACAGACCTGCAGACTGCTGGTTGCAGATGTAATTCTAGTGCTTGATCTATCATGGGGTAACAAACCCTTTTACCCCAAGAACATTCCATTCTCATTCCTGGCCTCACTGAATCCATAGTGAGCTTGCCCAGGGCTGAAACCCACTGGCAAGACAGTGGGGAGATAAGGAAAGAAAAAATTACAGCTAACATTAACATCTAGCCAAGTGTAAATCTAGCCAAGATGCTCTACAAAGCCAGATAAGGAGCTCATCTCCAAAAGGTGTGGATTTATATTTTATAGAAGTATTCCAGTTAATTTATTAATCACACCAAAAAACTACAAAAAAAAAAAACCCAGTCCTAAAGAACTAGAGAATTCCTATTATATATATTGTTTGTGTGGGCCCTAGACACTACAATTATTGTGTCACTAAACACACAAATACACACACCTGTCACAGACGTACAGAAAACAAGGCTTAATGTCTTTTTATTCTTATCTCTACTCCCTCCTTCTCCCTGCTACTGCGAATGCCCTATTTCAGGCTTTAATATTACTTTTATCCCCAAAGTGTTTGCAATGACTCCTTCTGACTTCAAACTGTGCCCACTCCAAATAATCCTACATAATATTTCCATATAAAACTTGCCTTGCTTGAAAAATTCCTAATCTCAATTAGAGAATACACCCATCTATTATTTAATACTTTTGCTATTCAGTTTGGATTATATGGCTACTAATCCACCTTCCAATCCTACCATCTACTACTTTCTTTCAGATTCCCTGTAGACAAATCCTAGGATAGTATTCAGTTCTTTGAAAAGCCTCAACTTTCCACCCTATTACATACATATGCTGGTCTCTCATCTGAAACGCACATGTGGAAGAGCATCTATTTATAGATACAGAACCACAGATCTGGAAGGGACCTTAGAGATATCCTGATCTTCTCACCTTAATTTGCATTACAATCTTTTATCTCGCCCCCAAGGACCCATAAAACTCCCATTCTATCATCCTTCCCATTACAGTGGTTCTCAAACTCTAGTATGCCCAACAACCACCTTGCTGGTTATTAAAAAGATGTATTTCCAAGCCTCATCTGTAAAGATCATGCTCTAATAACATGGTAAGGGCCAGAATACATTTTTTTTTTTTTAACAAGCACTTCAGGTTGTTCTGAAGTAAGGGGTCAAAGCCTCAAACAACAATAAGAAAATCACAGAAAAAAATAACACATTAAGAACATGTTGCCTTATAACACTCAGCATGTCACTGGAAATTTTCCAATTCTGCCCCCATATTGGGGCCTCCAATAAAACAGCTACTCACTGCAACTTGCGCGGAATCCATATTTTTTTTTTTTAACAAGCACTTCAGGTTGTTCTGAAGTAAGGGGTCAAAGCCTCAAACAACAATAAGAAAATCACAGAAAAAAATAACACATTAAGAACATGTTGCCTTATAACACTCAGCATGTCACTGGAAATTTTCCAATTCTGCCCCCATATTGGGGCCTCCAATAAAACAGCTACTCACTGCAACTTGCGCGGAATCCATAAATCTCAGTCCAAAATAGTCACTTTCAATAAGGTCCAAGTGGTACATAATCTGATCAAACAGCTCTTGTCCTTTGGCTTTTTTCTGAAATGGTAAGAAAATAAATTAATCAACAAGTGGCTTACAAGATCAACAAGCCTGAACTGAAAATGGTTTAAGTTATAAAACAGCTCTTAAAAAAATTTTTTTTATATCAAAAGTATTACCATGTAGCAGATAATCGGTAAGATGCTATAGTTTTCCAATAAACCATTTAAGGCCAAGAGAACTTGTAATCTGTATGTGCTTTCCTGGACAGTGTTACTTTTCCTATCAACTAACAAATACTATTTTGTACCTACCGCTGTGTATAAGGAGAAAACTCTTATTTTGTCTTGTCAGTTTTTACACCCTACTTTAATGGAGCTTTATAATGTAACTAGAAAGAGAAAATTTAGAAAACTTAAGTACAAATCATACTGAACTAACTATACTTAACAGATTTTAAAGGAAAGATAAACTAGAATTATCAATGAACACTTAGAGAAGATCAGTTTTAAACTGGAAAAGAATATAAGGTAGGAAAGAGCAAAAACAAAAATGAAAGGCAGGAGGGGCTATGGGGCAATGAAAAACTACTATCATCAATGCAGAAGACACCAAATTGGAGGGGGTGGGAGCTGTAGCAAAGAAACTTGTATGGAAAAAGCAGTTTTCAAAGTATGGTGTCAGGACTCCTGATAGTTTTAAAAGAGCCATGAGGTTCTACAATTCTCCCCATGTACCTCAATCAAAACAACATATTGCAAGAGTGAATGCAGAAACAGAAAAGAGAACTTAAGTCCTCTATTAAACCAGACATTTTGCCCAAGCACATAATACATGGTACTCTCCTCACTAAATTATTTTGTTTAGTAAGATAGTTAATTTTCATTAAAAAGATTAGGTTAACATACAAAGGGTATATTATTGCTGTTGTTAAATTGACCAGAAGATAGAAACTAAAACTGAGAACTTTAAAAAATATTTAATTGGTAACTACAGATAGATATAACCCATATAAGCAAGAGCATTGTCGGGATCGTCAATTTTGAACAGTATCATGATTTATTCTTGAGGACACTTGCACCCACTATCTGAGTCATTGCATCACACCCCTAGGTCAGGGGGCAGATACTTATGATTAAGTCATAAAATGGAGTGCAGATCAACACCTGAATTCAAATCCCGAACCCTACTCACCCCACCTCAGTTATTCTTGTACCGCCACATTGGCAGCTCCTAATCCACACCACAGCCACTGCCACCACGGATGTGCACACATGCGAAAGCACACACCCATTACCAACACTCCTTCCCTACAGCTTTCTAATTTTTCTCTTTATTTCCTAGATTTCATGATCTGTCCTTCATTAGTTACTCTCGGGGGTGGAAGCCAGCAGCTGGCTTACTCCAAAAACAGCAAATCCTGTATGGCCAAAGAAAATGAACAAGGTAAAAAAATGGTCAACAATGTGAGACTTCTACAAAAGGCCATGAACTCTAAAACCCACATGGGCAAATAAATGAACTTATTAGAAATTTGGACATATTTGTTCTATTAACACAATGCAAACAGAAATATGGACAAAGGAAAAGACAGTCATTACTGGAAATGACAAAGAACACTTTTCATTTTAAATCACACTTATAATAATGAGTAAGCCCAAAGAAGCACTGCCAACAAACTTTAACAGAAAATAGCAATTATGCTGAAATTTGCAAATGGCAATGACCCTAAAAGGAACACAGAATATTTCTAAATTATAGCAGGATGCCACAGAAGTCTTCTGCTGCATTCATTTATCTGGTACCAAGCTTACATGCTACCATCACCTTAATTCCGAGATGTATTTGTAGAATCAATTTCATAGTCCATCAATGTGCTATATTTGCTTCAAAGACCACAGGGAAGTATGGCTAAAAAACTACTCTCATCCTTTTTCTGCCGAAGTATTATTTGCCAGCCTCCTGAAACAAGATAATTATGTTCTGAGAAAAGAGAAAATGGGCTTATGCAAGTAGGTGGCTTCTCCTCAAAATAAAAACGTCGCAAGGGCATGTACTGCCCCTTTATAGAGGCCAATTACAGGCCAACTAGGAGTGAACACAAGGCTTTTAGCAAGTTCCTGAGGTTAATAACACTCAAGCTAACAGAAACCTGACATCTCAAACAAAAAGTCTCTCAAAACATGTTCATGTGATTTTAAGGGATAATGTGAATATTTTTAAAACTTTCATCTGGAGTCTAGTCAGCAAAAGGAAGAACTATACCATTTCATGAAAATAAAGACACAGACAAGAAGTAGGTAAGTTAACTGCAGTTTGTTTATTTCAGAAAGACTTCTAAGTCTAACTCAAATAAAATGCATTATTACTGACAAGTTGGAAAATGTGGTCTTGGTGATATTATTCTAGGTGGGTGAATACCTAACTCAATCATAATTTTAAAAAATAATTATCAATCTGTTAGTATCAACCTTGGAAGCAGTTACTGAATCAGTTGGTTCTGTCCTATTCTATATCCTCTTAACAGTGTTTCAGTTCATTATGCACTTCACAGCTCACAGGAAATATACACACTTGACATAATATGATTCAACAATTACTGGACAGACATGTATTATGCATTAGCTGCTAGTTATACAGATGAATATGCTTATATATCTTGCCGTCAAGCAATCACAAAGCTCTTAGCTAAGAATAAAAGCATATACAACTAATTTAAACAAAATATGAGTACTATTCTTGAGGTATAAACAAAATGCTGAAGAAATGAGGATAATGGTAACTATGTTTATTGTGGTGAGCATTTAATAATGTACATAACTGTCAAATCACTATATTGTACACCTGAAACCAATAAAAATAAAGAAAGACGAAATGAAGGAGAGTTAAGTATGACTGAAAGTACTGAAAGCTTCAGAGGAATTTTTATTTAAAATTGGGTCTGGAAGGGTTAACAGAACTCTGCAACCCTAAGTAAAAACAAAATAAACAAAGATGAAATCTTGACAGTATGTGGTGGGGTTGAGGGAAGGGGCCAACTGGAGACATGCAGTAGTCAGAAGACAGAGGCAGAAGCTGCCAATGTGCTTTTTCCAAAAGCTGCAAAACAGAACATTCCTCTGATCTTTAAAAATCCTTTAATTATTCCTCTTCCTCTACAGATTAAAGTGCAAATTCTGGGCCATAAACTAGAGTCTTTACTAACTGCTCCTTGCTTACTTATCACAGTCTTATCCACATACAGTCCTGCCACTCCTGCACTTTTACCTGCTTATTATTTCCCCAATAATTACTGAGCCTTAGCCAAATGGAGTTCTTTCTGGTTAGCACATCTTCTGTGTCCCTAATGACCTCTTGACTCTGGTTTCTCAAGAATCAATTCATCTGAGTTACTTTCAATAATCCTGACAGAAGGAACCTTCCTTCTTCTATACTACTTTGTTCCTGTAATTCTGGTCAGTATAAAGCCTATGCAAAGGCACAGGGTTGTAAAACAGTCTACCATGTCTGGGCCATAGTAAGAAGGTCCAGTATGACCAGAGTATGTGGAATATGGATGTAAGAGCCTTCATTTGAGGGTCAATATTGTTATTTATTTTTATATACCCTTTCTCCTGGCAGCTACTGAAAACAAACTAAGTAGAAAAGTGAAAACAGATCCACAGCACTGATCCACTCCAAATTCATACTTTCTCCCATTCTGTGTCTTTTTATTTTCTTGCTGCTATCCTTTGAGGCACAAAATCTAGACCAGCACTAGCTATTTACACTCTTTCTTCCTCCTAACCAAGTATTCCAGCCTCTTTCAGAGCCACTCCTCACTTCACATATCTTTTCCGAAGATTAAGACCATCATCTACTCTCTTTTTATCAGCATTCTTTCTCAGCTAAGATGAATAGTCTCCCTAGAAGGTTCCTCCTATCATCTTCACCTTACATATATAAGCCAATTTCTGAGGAGCATGCTCCCTATTCATTCAAATAAACTCAGGCCTTCCCTACACGGCCATTCTCTAGCTACTGTGTTATCTCCTTCCTTCCTTTTACTGCCAATTCTCATGGCGACCCCCCATTTTCCCTTCAGCATGTCCCCCCAAAACTAAATAATACTTAGTTTTATTAAGCACAAGGGACTATAAATCCAAAGAATGTAAGATTACTCCCAGTAACCTTCAAACCCTCTAACACCTGGCTTCCAAAAACATCATCCCACTGAAGCTCTTTTCTCCAGTTCATTCTTTCACTCCTCTCTCCAAGACAGCTGCTACCCTCTCATGTTCTTCCACACAATCAATAGTACCCTCTACAAAGTTAAAACCATGTTTTACTCCTTTCTTATTTTCATCCCCTTCCCTCACCAAACATTCCTTCCACCACAATCCTCCTGCCACTAATAGTCCACAGCCACACCATCTTGTGCGCCTTCATTACTGTACTGTCTGCAGGCTTGCTTTTTTTTCTGTAATGAGTCAAGAAGCATATCACCTCTAAATTAAGCCTGTATGTCTACTTATCATGTCTCTTGACCATTAAAAAAAAAC